CTGCGCCCCGGTTTCCCGCTGCCCTTCCCCGACAGCCTCTGGCGGCCCAAGTGGACGTGGCAGGTGCTCCGGTCACCTGTCTAGGTGAGTCCAGGGCCCCGAACGGGTCGGTGCTGGGCACAGGACAGAGGCTGGCAACGGAAGCCTGGAGAAATCTGTGTGTGTGTGTGTGTGTGTGTGTGTGTGTGTGTGTGTGTTGGGGGGCGGGTCCTCGCGGGGCAGCGTGCGAGGCGGCCGGCTGCGACCCCTCCCCGGTCCCGCGCCGTGCGCCGGGAGCTCAGGTGCCCAGGGAGGCGCGGGCGCGGCCGGTGTCCGGTGTCGGTGTCCGGTGTCTGGAGCCGCGTGCTGGGTGTTGGGTGAGCGGCCTCGGGCGTGCTCCGGGGAAGTTTGCGATCCGGGCGGGGTGCGTGCGTCCCAGGGGTGTGCACGCCCGCGGCGCTTGCTCACTCGGGGGCAGCGAGCTGGGCAGCCCACGTGGCCGCCTGGGAGGGTCTGAGTAGTCGGGTTTGCAGACGGCGGTAGTAACTCAGCGTCCGGCTGCCGTCGCAGACTTCCGCGTCCTCCGTGTGCGCGGTGCCACTCGCGCTCGACAGCCGCACCCATTCCAGCAGGTGGACGGCGCACGAGGGCTGGCACACTCACGGGGTAAGTCCTCGTGGGCCTGATAGGGGGAGATCTCGGGAAGCGGTTTCAGCCCACGCTGCCTTCTGGGGCGCCTTCCCTGTGAAAGCACCCAGGGACGCCCCCATGTGGGGCCTGCGCGCGGTGAGTGCGGTGGGCTGGGTGAGTGAGGCAGCACTGCCCAGCTGGGTCGTGGACCCAGTAGAAGACCGATCCAAAAAAGTCACCCCAACCAGTTGGGCGGCGGCCTTCCTCAACTAAGTAAGCACCCTTGACCTCTCTTGACCTCTCCTACCCTCAGGGTTCGCGGGCACCCTAAAGAGTCACAGTTTGTACGTTTTTTGAGTGGTCTCTCTTCCCAAAGGTCTCACAGAAGCAAGGTGGCACCTGCCTCCTAATCAAAGATTCTCCTCGCCTACCAAAAGGCATTCATTTGATTGCTTGTATATAAGAAACAACATAGATACAATTTTTTAATTGAGTAGAGAAGTGGAAGGCATAGTTGGGCATACACTAGCACAAAGAGGAATTTTCTAGATAAATCCATGGTGCAGTAAATTCACATTTCTGGAGAATGATCCATATTTGCAAAATTTATCAAATTGCAGTCCTCTCTAATTCATTTTATCCTCAAAACAGCCCTTTTGCAGATAGCTTAATAAAATTAATTTAAATAAAGTAAATAAAAGTTTAAAAACAGAGCTGGCTGGTTTAAAAGAATCACAATTCAAACTCTACTATTAACTTTAAAAACATACCTATACTATATTTTATGAATTAGGCTGTATCTGAGAGCTTTTTATTTTTAAGTTCTCAGAATTATTAGAAACACCATTGTGTTATAGAACGGCGGCTCTGGAAGGTGTGAAATCAGGTCAGATGCGTGAGTACTGTGGAAAATTTGACTGACCATATCACCCTTTAGAAATTGGTTTTTGGAATAAATAGCAGGTGTGGGCTTGTTGCTTGTCACTTCTCTCTTTTAAGAAATGGGCTATAAAAGAAGAAAATGGTGAGCTGAGCTTGTCTTTTTATTGGCTCAGGAATAACTGGAAGTTTGCGGCACTTAGGGAATTAGAACGGGGAGAGGGGAGTCATTGGAGTGTGAATGAGGGTTGGCTGTGATTGTTTGTCCAGTTAGGGAGTGAAAGTGGGAAAAACCCTGGTTAATTTCCTCCTTTCTGTTTCCTGTACCCTGGTTCTACTTGTCTTCATAACTTCACATTTTATTATATTATATAATCTGTAGATTGTGTAGATTCTCAGACTGAGCTCAATCCAGGTTTACAGACGGGGACATTGGGCCCACAGTTCTGAAGTGTCAGTCCAAAGTCACACAGTTCGTGGGAGCCTGAGCTGGAGTCCTGGGGGTTAGTTATCCCGTGGGCACGTGGCTCTGGGCTGGAGTTTGCCATGGGAGAACCCTGAGGTGGAGGGAGAGTTCCTTCACACCAGCTTTCAGCCAAGGAGTGGCATGCATATCCAGCAGCCTGGCCACAGACAGTTGTCAGGTATTTCTCAAGGACACAAGGAAGCCACTGTCTTTTCTTCTAGACTGATTAGTTAGTTTTAACGCTAGAAAGCCAAGTTTGCTACAAAAGGCAAAATAAAACAAAATGAAAACTGAAAGAGCTTGGGCATTTTGTCTCAGAGTTGCCACAGAACTCTTCCCACAGGGCTGTACCCTTTGTTCTGTTCCAGGCGGTGGGTACAAAGGGGATACTAGTGGAATAAGTGTCTGGTGAATATATTTCTACACCAGGGCCACTGTGGCCGTCAGTGCCGTGCCGTCCTTCCTGGGTGGAGTGTTTTTGATACTGGAAACTTACCTACAGTTGATGAGGATGAGGCTGTTGCCCCTCAGAGGCACTTGAGTCAAGTGCCTTCCATCCAGCAGTCCTCTTGCTGTGGGGTTTGCTGATCTTCCTGCTGATGGTTCACATGGGACACCACAAAGCAATGGCATGCTGACTCTGGGTCAAACTCTCAAAAAAGTCTTCTGTACTGTGGGCTACAGCAACACAGATGTAGAGGGAAGCAGCTACCTCTGTAGCTGCATCGCAGCTACTGACCCTCTGGGCTCCATCTTCTACCTCTGTGAAAGGTGATTGAACTCAAGTGCCCTTTAGAGGATAAAGTGAGTTAAGGCATGTGAAGTTAAGGCACCAAGAAGTGCCTGGTGCAGGAAGTGCCGGTTCTGTTACTAGGGGTGCTGTGGGCACCGGAGAGGGGAACCATGTGAATTTGGCACTTGAAGGATGTTACCCACCCCTGGAGCAGGATTCACCCCATTCAAAGTGGGGGACAGAGAAGCAGCCTCACACCCCACTGCTCACTGGTTTTCTACCCTGCCTTACACCTGTGGGAGTCACCATTGCAGGCATGGAATGTGCCCACGTGAGAATGTTTCCTGGAATTTCAAGGAGTCCTCACTTCAGTTAAAACCAGTAAGTCAAGAAATCATTACCAGACGTCATTTCTGTGCTGTGAAAGTTTTTGAGGGTAATCTCAAAGCAAAATATGATGATGTTAGCCAGGGGGCCTAGGAGGGGCATGATTGAGTTAGTCAGGGACACTGCTTTTATTTATCGTTTAATGTTCTCTAAATATTTTTTTCCATTTGAGGTCTGGCAGTCAAATGCTATGGGAGAGTAGAGAGGTCAGGAAGAAGTAGTATCAATGAAGTATCACACACTCTGATTCTTGCCTACTGAGCATGCTCGTCTTGAGAGATAATAAGAAGCAACTGTGCAAGGAAGAGGAGGAGGAAGGGAAGGAATAGTTCCCAGCAATGGCAGAAGCATTAAAAGCCCAGCTGTGTGACAAAGCGAAAGAAATAAGGCAAACCAAAACCACTGTGGCCAGGATACGGCTGAGTGACTACCCAGACTCATGTAGAAGTGTTTGAATTTCGCATAGAGAAGCAAGATTATTGAGGCGTTGTAAACACCAAATTAGCAGTCGATTTGTTAGAACCTAGGTGATCCTAAATCTGTAAGACTTCTGTACGTCCTGTGACATTGAAATAAATTAAATACTTTTTCCAGAATAGAATTATAAATGTAATTTCCTTGCTATGATACAAGAATGAAAGTTTTTTATTTTAACTGAACCAAGTAGAAATGTGTAGAGTGAGACCCAGTGCAGCCCCTACCTTACTTCTGCCCCTACCTCTGAAACTACCATGTGTACCCATGTCCAGAGCTTCTCATGTGAACTTTCTAGTAAACTTCTATAAATCAAAATTCCTTTGTTATGAATCTCATGACCCCTGTCTTCCCCCGGTATATCTGACCTGTAAGTTTATGTTTTATTATATTAGGTTATCTGGAAAGGCGCACCGCAAACGTGGTGTCCTTCCAGAACACATGAACGTTCTCTTCTGTACCAGTTTTAGTAGTTTGCTTGGAAATTATGGTGTCCTTCTGTGAAGTTGAAAGCCCACAGTTGCATCTTTTTAGCACTACTTTTAAGGAAAATGCAAAAAATTGCATGGCAATCTGATTTTTATTTCTGTTTTTATCTTTCTTGAGCGTGGCTCTGTTTTGCTTTAGTTTAGGGTAAGTACCGGTGTAAAATCTCACAAATAGTATTTTCTTTCAAAATAGGTTGTTTCAAGAGAGCCTTTTAATTTCTTCCTGTGACTTTTTTTAGTCAGTGTTTTTTTTTTTCAGCTGAATAGTTGGTGGTTTCATAGGCTCTGAGGTAATAATGTGTTTGCTCAGTTGGAAGAAGGCCAAATCTCTGTTGAATTTTTGTTTCCCTGAGATTGACCCATATAAAGTTAGGATTTGTTCTGTGTTTTTGATAAAGTATCTTTGGAAATTATGGGATAGAGGTTACACAAACTCTTAACAAAATGTACTTCAACTTTTCTTCTCTTTCCCCCTGAAGTGAAAAATGAGACCATATTTCCTGCAGCCTTTATGTAGAAGCCTGTCTCTGCCCAGCACCTTTGCATTTTAATGCTGACTGATTTGGGCTGTTGCTCTTTGCAGGTTCCTTGCACGGTGGCGTGTAAGACAGGGTGTTTGGTGCCAGCTCCCAGGAGCCAGTCTGCAGAATTCCTGTCCCAGAGCCAGTCGGGATTGCGGGGCTGTGAGTCTCCGAGGAGGTCTGTCGAAGCACCCAAGTGCTAGCCTGGGTGGAGCACACCTGCAAGCCACTTTCAGGAGCTTTTGCCACAAGTGTAAAGGACCCTCGATCTGCTAAAATGCTGAGACAGATACTGTCGGAGATGTACATAGATCCTGAGCTTCTGGCAGAGCTCAGCGAGGAGCAGAAACAGATCCTGTTCTTCAAGATGAGGGAGGAACAGATCCGGCGATGGAAAGAAAGAGAAGCAGCCATGGAAAGAAAGGAGTCCTTGCCAGTGAAATCCAGACCAAAGAAAGGTAAACCTAGCCACATCTCTGCTGTGTTAGCGGACTGGCTCCTGGCTTGTAACAGTTCACACCAGTTGCAGGCTAGCCTGGCGTGAGCTGCAATTCAGCGGATGGATCCTAAGTGTTACTGGGGTAAAAGTAGTTCAGTTTATCAACTTGAGGTCTGCATGTGCAGGTAAGCATAGAACTTAACGTGGAGTTGTATAGCCTTATGCAGATCTCTTGCTCGAAAACAGACTGACCTTCAACTGCAAACAGAAGTCACCTTTAGGACCTGGGGTGTAGGTCAGTAGTAGAATGCTTGCTTAGCATGCATGAGGCCCTAGATTTTATTCCTAGCCTCTTCTGGGGTTTGATCTGAGGGTATTAAATTAAGAAAGGTCTCTCTCTACCTCCTTATTGTTGTAGATACTTAGTATTCTGCTTCTCTTCACAGTCATTGTATTTGCATTTCTTAGACCTCAAGAGATTTTATTTTGAGTTATCCATTTTAGGGAATACCTCCTCATACAATGTAGGAAATTGCTGTAAGGAAAATTTCATATTTTAGAGGGACTGAATTTTTCAGATGTACTCCTTTGTGACTGAGGGAAGCCCTGTAGTTTCAGAGGGTTCCTTTGAGGTGTGAGGAAAGAGTTCCTCGTACACAAAGATGTAAAGCGCACACGCGCAGACACTGAGAAGCACACACAATCTCCAGCCCCTTTTCTGCCCTCCCCACCCCCGCACCACACACACATTCTCTCATGGGTGACCAGCTAAGTTGTGCAAAACTGAGCTGCTCTCCTGTGATAACTTAGATAATAGTTTCAGTTTCCTTGCTTAAGTTTTTCCCTTGTAGAGTTTCCCAAGGTTGGTTAGAGAGGCATTGAAGACCAATTTCTTCTTTTAATTAAAGAAAAGCAAAATTTTATAAAAATCACTCATGGTTTCTGAGACTGAGAAAATCAGTCTTACTTGCATGCTTGGTATACACACACAGGTTCAAAACAGAAGTCAGTTTAGTCACCTTCACCTTACGCTATCTTTCACTCAGTTTCTTTCAATGAAACCTTTATACTGATAAGGGAATAAATATGAATACCTCATTTGTTATTATATTATAGTATAATGTGAATAGTATCATCACCGCTTCTGCTGATGTTTCTGACACCTTGTGAAGCACTTTACATATATTGGTCTTTATACAATTTCTACAAAGCCAGTATTCATTATCCACATTTATAGATGAAGAAACCCAGCCTCAGGGAAGATAGTAATATGTGGCAAGGTCTCACCACCAACTCATGCCCAGTCTGCCTGATTTCGTACTGTACTCTGCAAAACAGAATTTTCCTTCAATAAGTAACATGGTCAATCTGACGTATGACCCTTTTGTCTTTTCAAACTGGTTTGTACATCCCCTCGCATGCCTTAGTTAGACCTTATCAGTTGTAGCCAGGCCCCTTCTGGCACCCTGTCCACTGTGGATGTAATATGTGGGTGTGGTGGGGTGACCTTGGGGGCTGGGGAGAGCTAAAGACTCTTACCCCCAAAGTCAATGGCTGTAACCCTGTATTAGACTGTGGGCTTCTTGTGTTTGCGGAGTTGCTCTCCTTGTGATAACTTAAAAGAATAATTGCAGTTTCCTGGCTTAAATTTTTCCCTTGCAGAATTTTGAATCTACCTCTCAGAAAACCTGTGTAGATTTTACAGGTAAATGAGAATGTAAAAAATATGCTAATATACACAATGACAGTTATATCACTATTTTAGGTCAAAAGTTTATTGCCCCCTTAACTCTGTTAACACTTGGAGAAGTGTAGTTTGCATTAAACCAATTCCACTTTTGATGACTGAAACAGAAGAGGTTTTTCCATTTCCCCTAGAAACAGTGTGCTTTTCTGTGCTTCCATCTTTCTCTGGCTTTGAAGTGAAGCCTCAGACACCCCAAGGTGGTGTCATCCTGACCAGTGCTGTATGGAGGTGCTGTCTGACTTATGGACCTACTAAGCCTTGAGTACTGAGACCTCCTTGCATGCATTTCCTCCTTTCCCACGCGTGCTCTCTGTCTCCCCATTCTTGCCCCAACCCCTGGCTTGTACTGAGACCCAGCTAAATTCTATGGTTTCTTAGCAGGTTGTAGCCGGGTTATGGCTTTGAAAGTGGTCCTTTTTACTAACTACAGCATGTGCCTACCCCCCATTTCTTAGTACTTCTCTGCTTATCACTTAGCAGTTCTTTCTTGTCATCTGGTCTTTTATTCTCCCCTCTAAACATCTATGGGCCACTATGGTGAAATCAGGGGACATCACTACAGTGTTTGTATATTCCATTACATAGGAACATGGCTATCTGTGAGTAATCAGGCTAGTGTAGGAGGGGCTGGAAAACAACTAGGACTCTGGATTTAACGAGTAGTAGAGTGACTCACTTCTGATTTCTACAACGGGAAAATGTGAGAGAGCGCAGAGCTCCTGTGCTTGGTGGGGTAGAGCTAGAGGGATGGGGTTGTGCTGCCTGGTGCCGTGGCCACGTAGTTGTTGAGCTCAGGGCGTGAGTCTGAGCTGACGTGTGCCGGATATGTAGACTGCTGGATTTTAAAGACTCCGCAGAAGGAAAGTAAGAAAAGGAAAACCACACACTATAAATCATCGTACATTCATTACATATGGAAATGATAATATTTTGGATGTCTTGGGTAAAACAAAATCTATTATTAAAATTAATTTCATTTGTTTCTTTCATTTGTAATGTGGCTGCTAGGAAGTTATAATGCTGGATGTGGTGCACATTTGGATAGTGTAGCTCTGGACTATACTGGCTGCTCTAGCTAGCATTTATTAAGCTGTGCATCAGACTCTTAGCTGAATGCTTTTAATATATTAGCTCATTAAATAATAACAACCAAGCCTGAAGCATGACTTACTATTTACATTTAATAAATAAGAAAAGTGAAGCGCAGGGCCATTCACTCCCTTGCTCAGGGCAAAGAACTGGTAATTGAGAGCTCAAACAGATCCTGAGTCTGATTCTCCCAAATCTGGCACTCTGAGCAAGTATGGCACCTGTCAAGCTTAACTGGGGCTTAATAAATTACTGTTGTCTGAAGGTGCCTAGCACATGTCTAAAACATATGCTTGCACTGGGGACCCGCCATGGAGTCTTACCCATGTGTCTTTTTTGGGTAACGCAAACAGAAAGCACAGTCACCTCCAGAGGGCTTCCCAGCACTTATTTCAGCGGGTCTAGAGTGAATGAATGGGATCTAAGGCAGCAGGTTGGCATCTGGTGGTTGTGCTGGGTGCGGCAGGGGCTGTGTTGTGCAACCTTAAGACAGACTGAGACTTTTGAAGCTTCATTTGCTGGATTCTCGTTGTTACCAAAGGCAAATTCCTTTATACAAAGTCTTCCCTTTTCATGAAAAACAAAACAAAACAAACAACAATGAAGCCATTGGTTTGCACCACACCAGAAGTGTCTACATCCTCCCTCCCTCCCCTCCTGGAGCCTGCGCTTTCAGTGAGACTGGCAATATCTCCGGCTCTGGAATTGAGCTCTCCTCTCTGCAGCTGCATCTGACTCTATTAAGATGTTTCTCAGCTTCTCCTTTGGTCTCCCTCAAAGGTCTCTTGCTCTTCCCCTGTTCCTTTTTTTAATCTCTGACAAAATATCTGTGTTCTAAGGAGATGGTTCCCTCTACATTGGTGATTTATAGCTTTCCCACAGGGTTCGGGTGTGAGGTTACTCAAGACTCTTTTGAAAACTTACTGAAAACTTGGACTTAGGAAGATGCATGCAGACAACATTTTGTGTAGCATGTCACAATGCTCACAGAGCTTAATCTCATCCCCAGACTCCCAGGGCTCCACAGGCCCCCAGTGAAGGTTAAGAGTCTATATTACCTCCCTGAGGCAACTCTGATGCCACCAAAGGTTAAACACCACCTGTATGCCAGTGGCTCAAACCCATACTGCCAAGTGAGGCCTCTCACCTGAGCTTGGTCTTGGTGTCAGTTACCTGGTGAGCATTTCTGCTCAGATGGCCCATAAGCCCTGCAAGCCTGATGCAAAACCACATTCTCCAGTACCACCCCCGTGTTCCCTACCACCCTCTGGTCCTGCCTCTCACACTGTCTTGATGGAGAGCACTGCTGTGTCCCTCAGCCCCAAACCCATCCACCCAGGAGTCACTCTGGTTAGCCCTGACCCTCACCCACTCACCTTGTCACTAAACCCTATAGACTGCACTTCTCTTGATCCATTCCATAGAGCTTTCCTCCTGCCAAGGAGTTGGTCTGTGAGTACGTCCCAGGAGTAAGCATTACATTTATGTTTCTTTATTTAATCTTCACCAGAATCTGGTAAGGTAAGTGTTGTTCCCTTTATTTCTATAATGAGAAAATAAACTTGCCAGGTGTGGTGGCCCATGCCTATAATCCCAGCACTCCAGGAGACTGAGGCAGAAATTTGATCCCAGCTTCAATGACCGACCCAGTGGCACCTCAATGACTTAAAAGAGACCTTGTCTCAAAATTTAAAAGGAAATAAATAAAAGGACTTTGGAGGAGCTCAGTGAAAAGGCCCTGGGATCAACCCCCTCCCCGTATTAGAAGAAAACAAAAGACTTTACATGCAATTTTACAAGTCAGTGTTGGAAGAAGGATTTGAACTGAAGACCTGCTCCCTGCCGAGTCTGTTCTGTACCATTGGACCCAGTCGCTCTCCCCTTGCTTTACTGCCTGTCTCGCTGACTCTCCCATTGCTGGGTAAGAACTGAGCTTGTCCCCTTTGGTCCCTGAGCCCCATGGATTCAGCTGGTCCCTAGTGCTTCCTTCTACTATTCTCATTGAAGGTCTCACTTATCTGGCTCATCACTAGCTTCCTAGAACTGGAGCATCCTGAAGCTTCTTCAACTTCTGTTTGTCTCTGAAATAGGCATAAAAATTATTTAACATTTTTACAGATTGACTTTGGTGTTAATAATGCTGGAATTGTTAACACATAGAGCAACCAATGGAGAAAACAAGA